TTTTTCTTGCATATTTCTGTCTGCCTTATAATGACTTTTGACACTGCTTCACAAGCTTTTCTATGCATGGGTTCTGCTGTTTGTTTCTCTATTCCTGATTCATCCTTGTCTTATTGAGTCTGGTGTCTGGTAATTACATCCTCAAATTATGTTTACAAAAGTTTTATATCTCTATCCAATCAGATTTTGAGGCTTCTTTGGATAGTGCACCTCTTGAGGAATCGGGTGGTCTCAAATTTTTTTCGCGCTACAACTCGAGCTTTTTTCATCGACGACTTGAAAAAGTTCACATGGTCTTTAATCTCGTTAACCTCAGTCATGCACATGCTTTCATCAAAATGAATTATTTAGAAATATTCTATTATCCTATTAATAAGGCTACTAACAATTTGTTGCTTGCTGTTTATTATGTGATGCTTTTGCAAGGGTCATTTTCGCCATTCCTTGTGTAGATAATTTCTCCTCTTCTATTTACCATTTAGTCTGCACTTAATCCTACCTTACTAATGAGTCCATCAATATCCTTTGCGTTACTTCTTATTTGATCAGGCTAATTATTGGGGCTCTTCGTGTCTCATTTAGTCCGTTTTAAATATTTGCCGCCTAACTAGTTGTCCTTCATTCAGAGCTTATCTAACTAATTAAAATTTTCCATTGGCTCCTTATATTACCAACACTTATCTGCGTTGTTAGAGGGGTTTCAACAAAATAGTCCTAGATTGTTCGTGGGCATGTCCTACATTTCGTCCAAATTCATTCTAAATCATTTGCCTTCACACTATAATTGTGATAGATTCTGACAGGTCGAAAGAGTGTTTATTTGTATGCCATTGCAAGTGCATTATTTCCATCTTTAAAGGCTCTAGAAGTTGTTTGACCTTGTTTTCACGACTTGGTCATATTGCCAGGAAGCTTTGTAGGGACGCATCTTGTCCGATGTCTATATTATGCATGATAATTTTCCAAGTCGGGCCATGGACTTGGTACATTCCCAGACTTTTCGCCGGCATCGTCAGTGAGCCTTGCCATCCTTAGAATCACACTATAATCGTCAAAGAGACGTTCGATTTAATTTGTCTCTGACAAGTTGTAGTATGGTGCTAAGGATGGCAAGGCTCACCGATGATGCCGGCAAAACTTCTGGCAATGTATTAGGTCCACTTTCCGACTCTGGAAATTATCATGCATACTATGAACTCTGGACAAGGTTCTTTTCTTTAAATCTCTCCTGTCAATATGACCAAGTTGCGAAAACAAGGTCAAACACCTTTTATACAACGATAGAAGACCGCGACCATACAAAAGATTACACTATCCTGGTCTTCATACCTTCGTATAAAGGCTCTACCTTGCTATGTTTTTGGATATTTTAATTGGGTTACACCGACTAGGGTCTAGGTATAGCTAGAACGATATCCTTCATGCAGTTTGGCTTTAGTGTCTACCCTTAAGATGGGCTGCTAACATTTAATTTCCTCATCAACAGGAGAATATGAGGCGGTTTGATCTATTTTTCATAACTTTGTCATTTTCTTAGGGTGACTTTATCCGGAGTCCTCTGTCATAATAGTCACGGTCGTTTACAGCGTCTTACCGTGGACTAGGTGCGCAATATCAGACGTTCCACCGGCATGGCTTGTCAACCTTGCCATTCTTAACACCAGACTACAACTCGCCAAAGACATGTCCTGGTGCTAAGGTTGACAAGACCCGCTGGCGACACTGGCGAAGCGCTTGGAAATGCATTATCCACGTTCCTTTGCTGAAAATTATATTGAATACTATGGTATAAAACTCCTGACAAAATGTGTTCATCCATGCCACCATAGCAGAACGACCAGGTTGCTTAAACGGAGTCATCCCGCTTCTATACAGCGGAAGGCCACGGCGACCAGAATGGTGTTCACACTATCTTGGTCTTCATATCTCAATTGAAATAAGGAAAATACGAAATAAATACATCTTTCTTTGCTGAACTCAATTCCTTGTCCTCTGGGTAAAATTATACGCTTTCAAATAACACAACGTAACCATTCTTTCTGTCATCGCTGTCTAACAAATTTCAAAGTGATATCCTCCACTTTTTCAACATTTATTATTTTCAATTTCTACAGACGACGGATGGTACCAACCTGCTCTCCGGCATCCATCTTAGCGAAGGTGTCGACGTGAACGCGGCTGCTGCAGCTGCAGGCGCTGCTGCTGCCTCCGTAGGGGGGCCAGTGCCACTGGATCGCAAAGGACGACCTTGTGCCTTCCCCTGCCCAGCCTGTCCCCGCAGATTTGCATTCCAATGTCGTTTGGCCGCTCACTTACGTTGTCATACCAATATTAGGCCGTTCATTTGCACTGACTGTGGCCGCGCATTTACCCAAAAGGGCTACTTAGCCAGGCACGCCGCTGTACACAAGTTAGACAGGTTAGAATATAGAGCATTTTCTTATCCATTTTGTCATCTTAAAGCTTTCTCAAGACATGTAGCTACTTGGCTAGCCTATACCTTCCCACTATTATCTATTTTCATAACTTTTCTCAGCTATATTTTGCTATTTTTTAAGTTTAAGATAATATTACTTCTTCACACCAACTCTGCTTTGACTATGCCCTTATAGGAAGTAAAAATAATAATCAAGGCTCCGAGTCCGGGAATTCTGAGTAGCAATTGTTTTAACTTAATTTTTTTCATTAAATGTTTTATTATAATATATTAATATTAGGATTCTTGAGGTGTATCCTTGTTTGTTTTATTCACCGCCCTTTTTAAATGCTATTTATTGTATTTATGCTGTCTATTCATCATTTGTAGGCCTTTCTGTTGTTCTCTCTGTGACCGATCTTACAAGCATTATGGCTCTTTGGTTAACCATCGAAGGACACATGGCAAAGTCGCTGGTCTCGCTGGAGATCAAGAAATGGCCGACCAGCTAGTGTCCGCAGTGGGCTCCTCTGGAGTTGGTGCAATCACTCTTATGCCCGTTTCAAAAGTAAGTATTCAATCTTTTGCATTTTTGTCTTAACTTCATTCACCTGTTTTTCTTCAATATTACCACTACTGTGTTTGTTACAGGTGGAGGAGATCCTGCCCTGCGAGTACCTTTCCTCCCAATCCCTACAGGCAAGCAGTGTGGCCGCTTTTCTTTCTGCCGGAACTCTAGGCAGCCCTATGACCAACCAAACAGCTAACGCCCTCAGCAATACATCAAACATCTCCACTGGATTAGGTATAACTTCTTCCTCTTCTTCTACTCCTGCCTGCAGTACAGGTATTTCTTCGGTTACTGCAGTTTCGCGATCGATCGGAGCTCCACTTATCTCACATTTGGCCAGTCCAGTCAGTGGGCTTACTCAATTATCCCCCATTCAACCGGCCGCCTCTACTGGTGGACAGATCCCTGGCCAGGCACAACAGCAGACCCTGACACAGTTACAACAACCGCAATCAGTGCTTTCTTCTCATCTTCATCACCAACAACCTCAGCCAACAGATCAGTCACACTCAGGTCATCAGCAGCAGCAACCG